GAATTTTTAATTTGTCTGATAAAACTTTTTTTATAATCAAAAAACAACGCAAAAATGCGATTTTGTGCAATTTCATGAGGTTTTTGAATTATAAAAAAAGTTTTATCAGACGAATTAAAAATTCATTTATAGAAAATGAAGAGAAAATAATTGCAGTTTTTTTGAGCTATAGAACTCCTAGAAATGTCAAAAACTGAAAGAGGAGATAGATTTTTTCTGAATAAATCTATAACCACTAATTAATAAATCTATAACCACTAATTAATCACATAAATCTATAACCACTAATTAATTTTTTAAGAATCATTTGAATCATCTTGGAACTCCACAAAATCAGATAAAAAATTCTGAAATTATGGTTTCAGACCTGCAATTGTGATCGCGCCAAACTTTTTTTCTGTAGATCAAAAATTAATTTGCAGTTCGGAATTGTTCTGTGGGAGAGCGTGACATGTTCAAATTCACTTTTTTTTTTTTGAAAAAACTAATTAGCAGAAAATTTGTAAAACTTCGCAAATGAGGTGCCATCATAATATGAAGTAGCTTTCAATTAGAATTTTATAATTAGGAGCAATTTGAAACCGTGTAACTTGAATTTAATATGAGCACGATAGTCAATCGCTATCTTGTGACTTTCAGGAAGGTTTTTGATAACTCAAGAACTCTATGAATATCTTAAATGCAATTGAACTCCTTTTACCAATAAAAAAATTAGATATGCTTTCGATACAGAACCACTTCGAAAATAATCTACTTGTTTTGAGTTCTTTCCGAAACCCAAAAAAAAATAATTTTTTTGACAAAATCATTTTTCCGGAGTATATATATTCTATTCGCAGGTTTGAAGATAAAAAAGAGTGATGGGAACCAGGAAAAGAAAATGAAGAAAATGAGTAGGCGAGATTTTTCACTGTTTATAACAATTTGTGTGTGATTGAACTTCATTAAGGATATGTTAATAAGGCTTCTTGATATAGAACTTTTATGAAAAAGAATGTTTAAAAAACGGAAAAAATTTAATAGAAAACAACAGTTTCCTAACTGTTGTATCTGAAAAGCTTATACGGTTTCTAAGGGTTCTGAAAAAGATGATTATTTATTTTTTTGTTGATTAGTTTTTGCTCTGTCAAACTTCTGACAATAATAATTCAATTCATACAACCATAGTTACGACTTGATTTAATTCACGATTTCAAACTAAAAGTATTAAAAAGTTAATTAGCTGAAAATAAAAATTACCGAATGTCATAACTTGTAGTAAAAATCTTAAGATTTATTTGAAACCGTATAAATTTTATTTGAAGTCTTGAATTCTATGAGCAAGTTCCTCCCTAGTTGTTCAACATTCAGAGCCATTTATTTGAAACCGTATAAATTTTATTTGAAGTCTTGAATTCTATGAGCAAGTTCCTCCCTAGTTGTTCAACATTCAGAGCCATTAACGCCTCATTAGGTTTCTTAGTTTTTTTTTAACGTTCTTACTAAAACATAAAAATACCTCTTTACCAAAAATCATTCTTCCAGAGGAGGTCTCATCACCGGAGACCGTATTTTCGCCGTCAACGGACATTCGATCATCGGTGAGAACCACAAGAAAGTTGTCGAAAGAATCAAGGCGAACCCGAATCGTTGTGAGATGTTGGTCATTTCCGAGGAGGGCGCCAAGTGGTACCAGGAGCACAATGTTCAAATCACTTTGGATCTTCCAAATATTGAACGAGTTTCTCAGAAGGTTAGTTGAACGGGAGAGGAATTTACTTTTGGACATTTTGGCCAAACGTATCTCGTTTCTTGTAAGATGTATCCGAAATGCTCAACTGATAAAATGATTATCATAATATCAAAAATATTTTGTCTGTTGACTACTTTTTCATATCTAACAATGGTGCAAAAGAAGAATGCTTATTATTTTGAAGCAGATTTTGGATGAAATAACATGAATGTGAAACATACAGTACTGGCCAAAAAGGTATTCGCAAATAGTTTTTCGAGCATAACTTTTCTGAAACTTCCCGATCAATCTGATATTTTAAGACAAAGTTTAAAACGGTAAAAGAAACTGATTCAACAACAAGAATAGTCAAAATTTCAAAAAATTGAAAAAAAATCGAAAAATTCATGAAAATTGCAAAAAACCGGTAAATGGAACTTTGACTTCTGAGATCTAGGATAGACCGGTAAACGAAAAATAATAATAGAAAATGAATAAAATAGCTTTAGTACTTCGTTGGGAAGCCTTTGGCGTCGATTACCGTTTGACATCTTCTTGGCATCGAGTCGAGAAGGGTGTCGATGACAGACATCGGGATGGCCTGCCAGACATCTTGGAGTTGGTCGAACTTCTGGTTGGCATTCGAGGCACGAACCCCTCTAAGCTGTCTCTCGACATGCTCCCAGAGGTGTTCGATCGGATTCAAGTCCGGAGATTGACTTGGCCAGTCCAGAAGATCCACGTGGCGGCGTCGGAACCACT